TCTTCCGCTAGTCAGTCTGCTCTTTCATCAGTCTGCTATGTCGTCTGTCGGCTTACAGGCTCCTCGCTGTCGGCTTACAGGTCCTCGTCTGTCTTCTTTTAAGAACTCGTGCACTCGAAACTGTAACTGGTTTTCTGTTATCGGCTCAATGTCGATATGGTTCTGGCCAATTTGTGTCCTCTCCTGCGAAATCAACTAACTCCTCCACTTGAGAAATGGAACAAATTGAAGGGTTGCCCTGCTCTTTTAGGCTCAATTCTGTCGTTTCTGAGATATTGAAAGCTAGAATTTGGTTGATCAGAGATCGTCCCGACCGTCTCGGCCAATGAATTTGTTCATGTGCCCTTGCAGTCTTTGTGGTAGTTGGTTTTGTCTCTTCAGTTAGGTCAAGATTCTCGGAGTTTGTTGGCTTGAAGAGGTATCCGAAGGAGTTTGATGGAATGGATTGTCGTCCCTGGAATGGATGGTCCAGGTCCCTTGTGGGACGCCAAAATGTGCGCGTCAATCTCCACGATTATATAAAAAACGGTTTTTAAACACTTTAATTAATGAGTATTTTCTCGGCAAAATAACTCCGGAAGTTTGAAAATATAACGATAATTTATATTTTTTTAACAAGCTTTATCATCGGTAACATCGGCCACAAAAAACTGCATAACTCAAAGCAAGCTGCAAAAGTGGCCAGTATTTGTCCTTGAGACAAATTGCTCTTTTTAAAGGTCAGCCTTAATCAAGGCTGAACCAAATTAGAGCGAAAAGACGGTTAAAATAGGTTTGGGGGGGGGGGGGGGGGCCCGAACCTGGTTACGGAGCATCCCATCAAGTTCGGTGCATATTCGAGTTCTAGAAAGGAAATGACCTAGTCGGGATTCGAACCGGCCCCGAACCCGCCGGAACGCACCATGTATACGCTTGGCTACTGTCCCTATATGCATTTATATTTTGGTTCAGTTTTATATGCATTTATACTCTCGCTTACATTTACATTTGCGCTGCAACACCTGACACCATCGGAAAGTGTAAATAAAAGCACCAGCGGATTTAGAGGTGCGGGGGGATACGGACGCCCACCCCCCTCAGGGTTTCGACCCCCTACCGACCTAATCATTTTTTAAAATTTTTTACTGAATGACCGTAAAATTTTACTTACGGCGCCTTTGCCAGAAAATTTGGTAAAAATGGGGTCTTTGCGAGAGCTCAGAAAATCGATTAGGTCGACCAAAAAAAAATCGACAAAATTTTCCCTCGAGAGAAAACCCTGCATAAATGTATGCCCAAACGAGATTTACAAAAAAAAAGTTTAATAATGAATCAGGTTTCGAAATACCCAGTTTATCTTGGTCCAGCGACAAATGATTTAACGGACAGTTTTCGCGTTATTTTCGCGTCCGAGGCAGAGACGGCGTGGCCAAAGTTTAGTGACCAATATTCGGTATGTCCCGAGTTTGCAACGGAAAATATCCACCGCGACTTCTCAGCGACCTGCTCGGCCCAAGAAGCAGTGCAACCGGCACGAAACCACATGCAGTGGCGCGGCCAAACCCAGCCCTTTCCAGACTTTCACACTTTAAAAAATCGGTTGCGACTTTTGCGACCAAGGCGCAGACGGCGCGACTCGGGATACGGCGGGACATAAAGTCGCGGAAGTATGGAAAGTTGCAAAAGTCTGGAAATATCGTGCCGGAACTCTAGACATAAAACTAAAAAGTCTGAATAAAATATTCCAGTTTTTCGCAATTTTATGGCAAGATTTTTGCAAATCTATGTCCAAACTTTCGCCACCTATATCCGAAAATTCGTGAACTTTGGTACGTCCAGTTTTTTGCGATCCGCGGCGATTTTCGCGCCCTTAAGTACTGACTTTCAAGACTCAAACTCTGGGCGCGACTATACAAATTGAGTCCGGATCCGGATGTGTCGCGAGTTTCAAACCAGAAAATTAACACGAAAAATGAAAAAAAAAACATTTTATAGATACTTGGGAACACACATATCAAATGCGCGACAAATTGGTTCAAACTTATCAAATTTACAATCAACAGGTTTTACAATACACTATACTTGCGTGCGCCAACACAGACGAAACATCAATCATGCCAAAAATAAGGGAATAATAAGAAAAAAAATGTAAAAGAGGCCACAATCAATGAGAGAATTACAAAAAATGTGCAGTTTTCCTACCAACCGACTCGATCGTATGTAAAATTCTGCAGCTCATAACAAAATCCATTAGAAAGGAATGTGAAGTAATGATTGTGCAATCAACAATCAATAATACTGAGATAATTAATCTGCATTTTAAACGCATTACGAACCAAACTTTTCCTTAAATAAACCCCAAAATCACGAGAGGTCTCATAATATACAAATAAAGTAAAGGTTTGACCTAGTTCTAACAGGTTTTCCAACTTGGTCAGAGTTCGTCAAGACAGCAATTATAAACAAATCAGTCTTTTCACCACAGTTTTCTAAATCTTATATCTTGAATAAAAGGACAGTTCCAGGCTTTTCAAGGTTTAAAATTCCGTTGCGAAGAAGTTGAATAGTAAAATAGTTATTTTTGAAAAAAAGTTTCTTTGATTTTCTGTAATTCGATCTGAGTATTTAAATTTTTACGCAGCTGCATATCTTTCTTTGCGCGCATATAAATAGTTTTTTTTCTGATGAAGGCGCTTAAGAACAGACACTCAAGTCTAATTGCGTCCTCTCATGTCAGTCAAAATTTTCGCTTGTTTTTGTTTCATATAAAAAATCCTTAGATTAGACTGGAAACAATTCAAAAATTTTGTTTAAGTCTGGATATCAGTCTGGCACCTCGACCCGGGTAGTTATGAAGTGATTCGTAGGAAAGTTAACGCTGAGCGTTATCCGTTGAAAAGCAGAAAAATCTAATTTGTTTTTACGTTGATATTTCTAGATCAAATTTTTAAGCATTCTGTTTGCGACTCTGACATTTATAGCAGTCCCAACATCAAGTTTCCAAAGAATTGCTTAAGAAAATTGACAACAGGAAATTTTTTTTCGATTTTAAGCTCTGGGTATCAATAGTTTTCAGACTGTATAAAAAGTGTTTCGAAAATGGCTAGTTGAAAAATTGAAATGTCTGAAAAAGAAACAAACCAAGCACAAATATGCCGTAAATTTTGTTTAAAACTTTCTTTTTAAAAAGGTCATGGACTAAACTAAATAAGATGCTAAAACTGAAGCCAGTGTGTTTGGAAAAACACATCCTCTAATTTTTCGATATTTTTTTGAAATCCCCCCCTCTGGAATCACTAGATTCAGTTTTTCGACCCCCTACCGACCTAATCATTTTTTAAAATTTTTTACTGAATGACCGTAAAATTTTACTTACGGCGCCTTTGCCAGAAAATTTGGTAAAAATGGGGTCTTTGCGAGAGCTCAGAAAATCGATTAGGTCGACCAAAAAAAATCGACAAAATTTCCCTCGAGAGAAAACCCTGCATAAATGTATGCCCAAACGAGATTTACAAAAAAAAAGTTTAATAATGAATCAGGTTTCGAAATACCCAGTTTATCTTGGTGCAGCGACAAATGATTTAACGGACAGTTTTGGTAATTTTTTTGAAATGTTTAGCCAGAAAATGTAGTTCGGCCAAGAGTTCGTTCTTAATTTTGTTTTCTGTTTTTGATTGGCCAAAATTCAATGCAAAAAAGCTAGAAATAATTTGCTCAAAAATTGATCAAAAACTTATCATGGGGTATGAGGGTTCAATGGCGGGCAATTTAAAAATAAACAGAGTTTCGCAAAGTCAAGAACGTTGAAAAAATCGTCCAACAACCGTCTTCGTAACCAGATTATGAAACGGGCATTAAAACAGTTTCAAAAGTTATCCTGCCATTATTCTTCAATATGTTTCTTGCCTTCTCTTTTGATGTAGCCGCGGTGTGTGGGGGAGCCAACTGAGCGGGATTGGAAGTATAGGAGACCTAATTGGGGGAAAACAGTAGAAAAGGAGGCTGAGGAGGGGGAGGGGGAGGGGGAGACTGCCGGTGAAGAAGATGAGTGAAAATTCCGAAATAGTACTTTGCTAGATGAGTGGATTACAACCATACAGAACAGAAAACTATAACGGCAGCTCAATTTGTTTTGAAACCGATAATTATCTAATTAGTTTATTGATGTAAAGTTGTGTCTATTGATTAAAGTAATTGTGCTGATTCAATATTTTGTAGCCTCGCAGTTTTTTCAAGTCATAATGGAGCCAAAATTTTTTTAGGGTCAACTTCTCAGAAGAACAGCCATTTTTTAAACCATGACCCGAAAATTGGGAATTCTATGCTCTCTCGGTACTTCAAACTCAATTCAGTTGTTTAACGCGTTTTTACTGGGACTTGGTTTTTTTCCTTCAAAATACTAGGAACTTTATCTCAAAAATGCAAAATGGATGTGCATATGTAAAAATAGGAGTGATTGATTTAAAAGTGGGCGTCGTATAATATACCAAAAACTCCTTTGAACACAGTAGGATTCAGGGGAAATCCCTCTTGCGCGAAGATCCGATTGCGCGAAAATTTATTCAGTCAATCAGAATTCTTTATTCATAATATCGGTGTCAGTAAGCGATAAAATCAGTCAGTTTTTGATATTTTAGGCAAAATTGATTGACTGAAAATGTTTTGCGCATTCGGATCTTCGCACATGACAATAGCTCCTTGGGATTCCATTTTTACGGTCATCCCCAATCTCCATCCTCTAGTCGACGTGTTTTACAAATTGACAGCTACAGTGAGTATTCTTACCTAGAATAAAGTCGTCAATGGGCCCCTTTTTGAGCTTTGATACGGTTCTGGGTTTTTGAAAACAATTCTAACCGAATCATAACTAACAATGCAGCTATGATCTTTTATTTCGCAGCCGTGTATCATATCATCATAAACACCAATTTTGAACCCCCTGTCTACTTAGTTGACGATGATTGGCTGTCTTGTAAGGACCTGAAATAAATAAATCTATAATGTGTATTTAACAGGTTGAAGATAGCTATAAATTGTCAAAGTTATCATGAAAATGTTAAAATAAGTTATTAAATCTTGATGTTTATTTTTACTGCTATTCAAAAATTGTTAGAAATTATTCGGCAATTGGGACTTTCTTTCTTGAGAACAGCTCAATGCTCTTTTATTGGCGTCATTTGAAGCTAATAATCGCCGTCTTCCCTTTCTTCTTCCTGTTCGTCGACTGGCATATTCACAACGAGGAGAGTCTCACGCCTCCTGCTGATGATGTCACATATCACTCTGGTGGGCCACACCTTCTCACGCCAGATCTGTTTGACCTAATCGACAAGAAAACCATTTCTTGTATAAATGGCAGGCATCTCAGAATGGTCCGAGACAACAGTGGCCCCCGGGTCGAGGCCCGCGACTTTGTCAAGGTTTTCGCGACAAAAGTTTGATCGAAACATACTTTCGCTACCAAAGAGATCAGTCGTTATTTTCGCGTCCGAGGCAGAGACGGCGTGGCCAAAGTTTAGTGACCAATATTCGGTATGTCCCGAGTTTGCAACGGAAAATATCCACCGCGACTTCTCAGTGACCTGCTCGGCCCAAGAAGCAGTGCAACCGGCACTAAACCACATGCAGTGGCGCGGCCAAACCCAGCCCTTTCCAGACTTTCACACTTTAAAAAATCGGTTGCGACTTTTGCGACCAAGGCGCAGACGGCGCGACTCGGGATACGGCGGGACATAAAGTCGCGGAAGTATGGAAAGTTGCAAAAGTCTGGAAATATCGTGCCGGAACTCTAGACATAAAACTAAAAAGTCTGAATAAAATATTCCAGTTTTTCGCAATTTTATGGCAAGATTTTTGCAAATCTATGTCCAAACTTTCGCCACCTATATCCGAAAATTCGTGAACTTTGGTACGTCCAGTTTTTTGCGATCCGCGGCGATTTTCGCGCCCTTAAGTACTGACTTTCAAGACTCAAACTCTGGGCGCGACTATACAAATTGAGTCCGGATCCGGATGTGTCGCGAGTTTCAAACCAGAAAATTAACACGAAAAATGAAAAAAAAAAACATTTTATAGATACTTGGGAACACACATATCAAATGCGCGACAAATTGGTTCAAACCCATCAATTTACATTCAACAGGTTTTAAAACACGGTATACTTGCAAACGCCAACACAGACGAAAAATCAATCATGCCATTTGAAGCAAAAGTTAAGGGAATGATAAAAAAAAGAAAAGGGGCCACAATCAATGAGAGAATTACAAAAAATGTGCAGTTTTCCTACCAACCGACTCGATCGCATGCAAAATTCTGCAGCTCATAACAAAATCCATTAGAAAGGAATGTGAAGTAATGATTGTGCAATCAACAATCAATAATACTGAGATAATTAATCTGCATTTTAAACGCATTACGAACCAAACTTTTCCTTAAATAAACCCCAAAATCACGAGAGGTCTCATAATATACATATAAAGTAAAGGTTTAACCTAGTTCTAACAGGTTTTCCAACTTGGTCAGAGTTCGTCAAGACAGCAATTATAAACAAATCAGTCTTTTCACCACAGTTTTCTAAATCTTATATCTTGAATAAAAGGACAGTTCCAGGTTTTTCAAGGTTTAAAATTCTGTTGCGAAGAAATTAAATAGTTGAATTGTTATTTTTGAAAAAAAAATTTCTTTGATTTTCTGTAATTCGATCTGAGTATTTCAATTTTTACGCAGCTGCATATCTTTCTTTGCGCGCATATAACTAGTTTTTTTTCTGATGAACGCGCTTAAGAACAGACACTCAAGTCTATTAGCGTCCTCTCAAGTCAGTCAAAATTTTCGCTTGTTTTTGTTTCATATAAAAAATCCTTAGATTAGACTGGAAACAGTTCAATAATGTTGCTTAAGTCTGGATATCAGTCTGGCACCTCGACCGGGTAGTTATGAAGTGATTCGTAGGAAAGTTAACGCTGAGCGTTATCCGTTGAAAAGCAGAAAAATCTAATTTGTTTTTATATTGATATTTCTAGATCAAATTTTTAAGCATTCTGTTTGCGACTCTGACATTTATAGCAGTCCCAACATCGAGTTTCTGAGAAACTATTTAAGAAAATTGACCACAGGAAAAAAATTTCGATTTTAAGCTCTGGGTAAAAGTTTAGAGCCTGGATAAAAAGGGTTTTCAAAAATGGCTAGTTGAAAAGTCGAAAATTGTCTGAAAAAGAAACAAACCAAGCACAAAAATGCCGTAAATTTTGTTTTCATTTTTTTAAAAAGGGCATGGACTAAATCAAATAAGATGCTAAAACTGAAACCAGTGTGTTTGGAAATCCCCCCCCCCCCCCCCACCCTCTGGAATCACTCGATTCAGTTTTTCATGGAGGAAAAACCAAAACGAGTACAAATACTCGGTTAATTTCTCCGAAATTTGGAGCAATTGGGCATATTAGCTTGCCTCTCTTCTGAACTGTACATTGATGGTGAAGTATACGAAGGGGGTGAGTATGAACATTAGGAGGTTGAGGAAGTCACTCAGAGTAGTCAGGAGCAGAGCACTTTCTTTGCTCAACCAACCGCCTTTATCTGTATTGTAGAACACCAGGGCCTGCGAATAACAAGAGTATAAAGAACTCTGCTAAAATTACCAATTGGAAGGGTTTTTGAAGGGTGTTCGCACGCACGCACGCACCACACACCACACACCACACACCACACACCACACACCACACACCACACACACACACTCTCTCTCTCACACACACACACACACACACACACACACACACACACACACACACACGCACACATAGAGAGAGAGAGAGAGAGAGAGAGAGAAGAGAGGGGTAGAGAGAGTGAGGGGGTGGTTTTTCAAAAAAAATTTAAAATGTCGTCCGTTTTAGAATCTAGATTATAGATTGTGTCCCATTTGGCCGAGAAATCTTGGGGAAGTCTCGGGTGGTTTCGCGACGCAGACGCTGGAACATGAGAATTTCGAAGAAATCTACTGCCTCACATCGAAACCAACTCCATGCTACAACCGACCCAGAACGCTTTCCGCAAGCATAACTGAACCAACACAGCCCTTCACAACATTGTCGTCTACATCACCCATGGTTTCAACCAGAAGAAGCCAGCCGACAGGACATCCTGGTAGCCCTCACTCTTACCGTTGCCTTCGATACGGTACGGTGCATCCACAGCTGCCTCGCCGAGTGTATTCTGCTCAATCCAGCGCCGAACTGCGTTAAAAGCTGGATAATTAACTACATGCAGGACAGACAAGCAAAAGTTAGTTTTTGCGGGGAAAGTTTGGTGCTCATTTTGTCCATGGCGGTGTCCTC